GGACTAGGATACCAGGGGACCAGCGGACCACAGGACCAGAGGACCAGGAGACCGGAGGACTAGGGGACCAGTGGACTAAAGGACCAAGGGACCAGGGGACCAAAGGACCAGTGGACCAGAGGACCAAGGGACCAAAGGACCAAGGGACCACATTACCAGAGGACCCGCAGACCACAAGGCCAGGAGAGCAGCAGAAGAGGCCTATCAAGGAATATGTTTTTTTTGATTCGCTTTTTATTTTTTTTTGATCCTGTTTTTATTTTGTTTATGCTCTTTTTATTATTTTTTTGATACCTATGCCTGCGTGGCCCTCGTGACCCCACGGAGCATTTCTTCCGCTTCAGATCGTAGCTCCAGATCGTGGCTTCACCATCGCCACCCACGGAGGACCGGTGCTGGCGCATTCCCCGGGTCCGGGCCCCATGAAAAGCCACCTAGCGGCCCTAGCGCGCCTTGTTGAGGCCGGGGCCCAAGAGACGGGGGATCTGAGGGATCAGCACCTGAGAGACGGCGCTGCACCGGAAGGGTTCGCGGACCTGCGCCCACTCCTACAAGGGTTTGAACGGAAAGCTGAGTTTGGTCGAAAAAAAGGTATCCGCAAACAAAACCCGTCCAAAAACACTTACTTGAATGTGAACTCCCACCCCAATCATTCCCCATTGCCTGCGAGGCTAAGAAGGCGTCGAAGGAGTCAGCGAGTTTCTTCACCATCTTCTTGTTCTTGTTCAGTTTCTTGAGATCCTCAAGAGAACATCACCCATCTTTCCCCGATTGACTGGAAAACTCCATGAGAGCTGACCACCCTGCGGCCGCCGGAGTGCCCTCCTCCACGCTCTTGAAGGGGATGTTGGCTCGCTGAGCCTCTGGCAGAAGCTGGCAGCGTCGCCAGCAACTCTGGCTTAAAAAAGGACCCGATGCTGAGGGCGCTTCCAGGGACCCCTACAGAACGACCAGTTGGGACAAGAACCGTGGCTTGTTTCAACAAAATATGACCAAACCACAGCACAGAACCACTGACACCCTTGACACCGAATCGTAGCATGTCTCTCTCCCTCTCTCTCTCTCTCTCTGTCTGTGCGCAAGCAGCCCAGCCCGCCTGTTCACAGTGCACTGCGTCGCCCAACACGCACACCTGGCAAACCATGAAGAGCAAGTATCCTTGCATCTGCTTTGTTTAGTGTTGCGCTCATTTGGGATGGGTAAATACCGATGAAAACCAAGATCAAGATCAGCCCCCTGGAACTGTACAGCTGTTTCGAACACTATGCTTTTCAGCACCCAAAGAAATGCTGCATCTTGCGTGACCATCTCACAGCTTCTAGACCTCAGAATCTGAGCTTCACTGTGGTGCTTGTTGTTGGTCCCTTTGGTCCCCTTGTGCTCTGCTTTCCTTTGATCCCACCTTCAATCTGGGGCGAGGAACATGCGGAAGCTTGATGGTGCCGGCCTCAGGGGTTCCGCGGGTTTTCCGACGTCTGCGCTGTTGCCAAAGGAACAAAGCAGGTCACCTCCAATGCCTGTGGGTCAAAACCAGGACACCTTGGTTGACCTACCGACGTCACTTGCGCTCCAATGTCTGCGCTTCCCCAAGTCCTTCACCTCTTGGTGGGTACTGGGGAGTTGTGAAGAGTATCTAAAAGACATGCACTATACATCACATGCAACACACGTGCAAAACAGTTGGTTGACCTACCGGCGAGACTTGCTTATCCGATCCGGCGCTTCCCATGGTTGTTCACCATAGGGTGGGTACCAGGGGGAGTTGGTACGGATCCGCTGTGCAGGCAAACACTACGTATACAAAATGAGAATGACACTGTATGGTGGACTGGTCAGGCTCCAGGTTTTGACTCATCCCCACATGCCCCACATGTCCTCTGACCAGGGTCTTGCTTCTTTTCGACATGGACACCGGTTTGATATCTAATCTCGGGGTCAAGGCAAAGCGCTTGTCTCGCTGAGTGTCATAGTCCTGCAGGCGAATTTGCCTTTGAATCTGTGCGGGCTCATGTGAAGTAGCTTGGAGACATCCATCTGCTTCCGATCGGCCAAGAATCCACATGCTCGGCATGTCCACAAACACCTCATGCGTCCGAAACGACGAAACGCCAAAAACGACACCCGTCCTTGAGGCCAATCTGCAACTCTACCGTCTCCAGGAACTTCCGTTGTTTCTCCTCAGAGCCCCACCCGGAACCGGTGAAGCGCGAAAAACGACACCCGGAACCGGCCTTGCTGCCATCCAGGATCTGCACAATGCCTGGGGGCTGTGCACCACACAGCTTCGATCATGGATGTGCACTCAGTCCACCCACATAGTTCAAACCTTCTAAGTCCAGGTGTTGCTCCTGCGCAACGTAACTAGAACACCAGACTGGTTTGGGATACGTAACTAGGGCTCCGAAGAGGGCGGAAGAGCTCAGGTGGTCCCTTCGGACGATGAATGGAACGCACAGCTCGCTGTCTGTCTTCAAACACATGGCGCCAAGCCCGTTCGGAAACATGGCTTGGCCTTTCCACCAAATGGTGGTTGAAAAGTACAACGATGAGAAGTGGCATTGGAACTCTAAGAAAATCCAGTCCGCTTCCCTCCAGATCTCGTTGAGAAGCTTTTCATCCGAAAATGCAGACGGCGGAAGGATGCTGCGAAAATAGTGAATAGTCTCTGCCAGGCCCAAGTTCCCGGCCAAATCCCTCCTCAAGTCAATTCCCAAAAATCCAGCCAGCCCTTTTTGTTCCGCTTCCGGACCCTTCTTCAAGTTGTCGATGTTCAGCTTCGACATGGCGCGTGATTGGGCCAGAAGATCCACCCTCTCTGCCTTGCTACCTGTGGAGCCCAGTTGCATCCAGTGATCAGTTGGGAATTCGAACAGGTTTTGGGAGATCCAGGTCGCAGACACGTTGAGGTCGGTTGCCATTGGTTGGTGAGTAGAACCGAAAATGAAGATCATCAGACCACTACCTTGCGAAACTGAGTGCAAGATTCCAACGAATCCGGCCGAACTGAGGGGGTTCTCTTTCGGGTCTTCCTGGGGCTGGTCCACTCCGAGTAGCTGGCAGACTGCTCATTCAGTAGACTTCAAGGTCAATACTATTTGACCTGCCGCGCAAGAAATCTTCGTGTCCTCTACCCACGTCATGTCCTGTTCTTGCAGATGATGCTCCGCCATCACGTCGCTTGTGGTCGAGTCGCGGCTTTTCTTTCGGAACCAACTCAAGGCAAAGGCCTCAAGATCCCTGCGGATTCAAGGAGACAACTCAGGGGCGCCCCTGCTGAAAAGAGTCCTCCGAACCTTATGGATCTTGTGGATTCTTGGAACCATAGCCTCTATGGTGCACAGTGGATGTGAGGATCGATCAAAGATTGGTGTAGAGGTTCAGCTGGATATCCTTGGAGTTCTTCAGAGGTTCTTGTCTCAGTGGCCATGCTGCAAAGCAATTATGTCGATCAAGCCCCCTGAAAAGCTTTGCTCTTTTCACCAGGGTCGCCGGGATTGCGTGCCCTTTCCCAGCCATGGGCAGGGATCCGGACTACCGCTGGTGTCACATTAATCTGAGATCCGCGCAGCGACATCTTTGCACTGCAAACGGTTTCACATCAGTTAGTAGGACCTTGACCTAGACATTGAGTGTCATAAACAATTTGTTTGTAGTGATAACCAACAAAAATACGAGCAAAATACACAGAAGCAAACTACAGAACTTTGGCTTCTAAGCAGTCTTCACAACTCCTTTTTGAAGGGTGCCAATCGTTCCTCTCAGTGAAGATGCATGCGCGCAATGCCGGCCACAGGCGCCTGTGGCCGCCTGTGGCCGATTCAGGTCGACCTCACTGACTGGGCCCCTTCAGAGCTTTCATCTTCGATGACACGGCCTTGGCATCATAGGATGACCCCAAATACCTAAAGTTTTTCGGCCGACGGGGGATCTCGTTTCTGGTGCTTGGTCAGTATCCTTTGGAAAAACAGAGGAATTGAAGCCACAGCTACCGTTTCAGAGCAGGCACACATTCCAAGAGAACTAAAATAACACCTCAAATAACCATCGAACTCCCAGGGTCACAAACGCAAGCAACAGCAAGCTACAGCAAGCAACACCACCCATAGAACCACCAAACAGGAGACCAAGACTGGAGACCACCCGCAGCGAAAAAAAGAAAAACGTTTTGGACCCTTGAGACCACCCGCATCTTCCAGCTTCTCCAGCATCTTATCCAGCTCGTTCTCCTGAAAAAAGAGACCCACGAACGGTCTCAGTGGCTGGGCGACAGCAACACGGTGTCCCGAGGAACGCCAAGGGGGGGACATTCTCCAGCCCGGAGGCAAACAGAACATCTAGTCCACCAAGACTGAATCAATCTCTCGAAAAAGCACGTCCAGCCAAAATGAATGCAACCCTTTCTTCATCTGAACACAGTGGTCGCAACTCATGTTCGTCCCCGTCCGTCCCCGTCCATGTCGGAGACCAACCGTGGTCGCAACTCCCCCCGTGCACCTTGGAGATCTCGTTGATGGCTTTGCCGACCAATTTTTTGGTGTCGGCGCTAATTCGCCCATCCTGCTTCCAGTCCTGCGATGGCTGGATGGGTCGACCGGGTCGACAGACTGGGTGGCAAGTGAAACACGGCGCGGGAAGCTTCATCATTGAACCCAGCTGCTTCTCTTTCATGACAACCCGTTCAAACCATCAAGGAACATGGAGGGTTCCATGACTTATCATGACTTCACCATGCTTTGTAGGCAAAATCATGAGACACCAAACTCACACACAAAAGAACAAAACTTGGTGCGGGACAAAAGAAGAAGATCATCCCCAACCCCAAGGGCGAGGTGTTGCCACATGAATCTGGAGGATTCATCTCCTGGAGCTCTCCAAGATGTCGCTCTAAGTCCTGCGCAAGGGGGTCGCAACATCGGGATTTGGCATGGGATTTAGATCAGAAGAACATCCAGGAAGTCTCCATGGACATGAGGATCATGTTTGTGGGATTCCGAGGTCTCTCAAGTGGACTGCAAGGTACAGGACACCACACGACGTCCACTTCGATGTTGTTCGAACGGGCCACAACGCGGACAGGGCCAGGCCCCTCGAGGTGCCGAGTTCTTCCCACGGTCCCCGTCCTCCAATTGCTGGTTGGCGCCTGCCATGTGAGTGAGGAGGTCCTGCAAAGGGCGAGGAGAAGAATCGTTTGGGCTTGATCCGGGTGAGGTCGGTCAGAAGGGTCCAGGGTCCTCTTTGCTGCAATCTTCCAGCTGGTTGTGAACTTCCTGGAGCAATTGAAGTGAGGCAATTTGAAGCATCCACCACCATTTCGAAGCGTCTCCAAGAAAGTCTACCACTTGCAGCTTGCAACACTCTTGGCTGAGCTTCCCTCAGAGTTCGCTTCGCAAGCTTCGCAAGTGTGCGTTTGGAGAAGAAGAAGCCGCGCCTTGTAAAGATCCAAACGGGGGACCGTCCGATAGAGCCAGAGTTCGGTGAGCTGCTGGGCGTTACTGGCGTGACCGTCCGAGACCGAACGCTCTCTCTGCTCCGGTCCAGCTGTCTGCTCCACGCAAACGTCTAGTTGGATGTGTTCTTACGGCAAACAAGTGACTTTAAGAAGCCAGTTGGAAAGACCAAAGCACTAGGTTAGAAGTATATATATATATGACTTTCTGAAGACAAGATTCATAATGCAAAGTAACCTGGCCTCCAGAACTCTGTCATCTTCTCGCGCTGCTTTTCCACTTGCTCGTTTTGTCGAGCCAGTTCCTTCAAGTCAAATCAAGGTAAGACTAATAAACCAGAGAGAAACACGACCTTTCAATAACTACAATCCGGGATGTTTCAGTCATGCGGTTGCATTTCTTCATGTTTGCTCCAGAAGATGTTTTGTGCGAATGTAATATGTATAGTTCACGGAAGCATACTGGAGTTTGCTTTAATCTCTGTGCGATCTTCTCTTCAAAGAAGATTGCATTGAAGACCATACTCCTCTCTGAATTGACAATCTGGTCTCCTTCACTTCCCGCTCCAACTGTTGAATGATGTCCAACTCCTCACGGAACATGACAGAACCCAACAACCCAATAAGATGTCGTGGGTATATATAAACACAACTGGAGGTTCTTTGCCTACGCGCTGCAGCGAGTGTCTAAACAAGAAGCATACTCCATTATGATAGTCTGTTTATGTTATCATATTATACTATATATATAGTATTTTCGACTACCCGGCTGGACAAAGCTAAATTGGACTTATTGAGTCTGCAATCACTCCCAAGCCCCCAAATACCCTTTAGAATGTGAGATAGATCAATCAACATGAGGTGTGCCCTGTGTACTGCTCTCAAATAAAATGCTCTTTTGGTGTGTGTTCTTTGTTCCCATCACGAAACCCTGAGAGGCGAAGTGATCCTTCATGAAATTACTCCATCGAAAGCACCGACTGCTCCCCATGCACCTCGAATCTCATCAGCATCACAATCAAGCATATCTGCGCAACCGGCAGGCACAGTGGAAGGAAGTACGCAGCATCCGTGAGCAATCAACCATAAGCTTGATGTTTCCGGGAGCCAGTACTGCTAGTGCTGTACCAAAGCAGTCAGCTGCTTCAAAGGTTTGTTCTCCAGGCCCAAATCCATCAAATAAGATACGATTCTACTCTGGATAAGCTTTATCTCTGGTCCTTCGCATAGTCCCAAGGGCCAGTCGCCCCAAACAACTTTCCCCTTGCGAGAATCACTATGATTCGAGATGATTGGAGATAAGAACTGCCCTAGAGCTCTTTTCTAGCAGGTGCCCAGAATGCATGTGTATGCCTTCTTTTAGTTTATTTATATATATATATAGAGAGAGAGAGATGATTGATTTATGACACTTCGCCCTAAAGCTCCGATGCCAGGACCGTGTTCTTCGCCTCTGCCGCCAAAAGGTCTGTGGTGCTCAGGATGAGGAACGTGGAGCTTCTGCGCAGGCGACGTTGGAGGGCTGAGCACCCTTCTTTGGGGGATGAACCATCCCCAAGAACACCAAGGTTAGGACGATCGGTCTGAAAAAAGCTTTAGGTGCCTTAGGGAGAGACCTGCAGTTGCCTCCAGAAAGACCTTAGGAGTTCACTTAGGAGTCTTTTGCCTACTGCAGTTGGAGGTCATCGCTGATCTAGTGTCTGAGGTGTCATTTGCACAGTGGCTCAAGCCAAACATGTTCCCTTCTGGTCACCTTCTCCCGGCTTTCGCTGGCGTCGTTTGACCCTCCAAAATAGGGGAGAATCTCCTCGTACTGTACGCCTTTTTGGGCACTCTCCTCATACTGTACGCTGAGGGATCCTCTGTATGCCTTTCTTTTCACCACCGGCTCCGGCCCGGCACTCAGGCCCCCGACTTCTTCGGGTCCTTCGATGCCTCCACCAGTAGGTAAATATTGTACCTGCGAGGCCGATCCGAGGGACAAGGCGTCCTCGAGCACGGCCATGGCACGCCCATGCCGAGGAACGTGGACGGTGGACGGTGTGTATTGTATGCATCGGGCATCGGGGTTCGGCCTTTATGGCGGAGCCTGAACCGGGTTCGGTTCGGAAGAGTTCGACCAGGAAGGTTCGACCGGTCTACCCAGCAAAAGGGGTCTCCATTTTTCTCATACACACCTCTCATCTTTCCGGAGCCGCGTGATGGAGCCGCGGAGCTCCACGACCGAGGGGTGGCGGAGCCGCGGAGGCACGCGAAGAGCGCCGCTCCGATGAAGACGCCGATGAGCAGCCGGGCCTTTCCGGTGGACCGGACGGGCGACCGGGGAGCGACTCGGGGCATGGGAAGGATCCTGGAGTGAAGAATCCTTTTGTTCTGAGCTCTTGGCAAAACCACTTCAGAAACCCAAGTTCGGAGTCTCAAAGTATAGAATTGACTCTCAAAAATGGAAGATCCTGTTCCTTCAATCACGACTGTCAAGACTCAAGACCAGTCAGACATGGGGAGCATCCACCCGAGACATCCTCTGAGCTTGCAGGCATGCTCCATGGAGAGGATGACCAGCTGGCCACATCCGCAGCGGATCTCTTTCGGATAGCTGTCCTGCCAAAGAAGAGGCAATGGATCCAGGACCCTCCCAGCATTTCCTCCACAACCCACTGGCTTGGAAGATTGAGACGAGCACTTGGCCAAGTCCGCTTCAGTAAAGGCACTTCAAACCTCTGGGTCAAGCTCCTGACTTGGTGAAAGAGGAGTGGTATCTACAGCTATCTACCTCTGGTAGTCCTTTGAAATGTCTTTCACTCACTACACACGCTTCACCTGAGTGTCCTCTAGCTGTGCCCGAGGTCCCGGAACGAGTCCGAGTACTCGTTCGCCGTCCTTGGTCGGACTGCTCCTCACATAGAACTGCCTTGGCCTGGGTCTGAAGCGACCACAAAAGACATCCAAGTGGCAGGGCGGAGGTATGAAGACAAGAATGATGGCCGGCTTCGAGGCCAATGGGGCTTTCAAGGGTGGAGGAAAAGGTGTTGTATACTCACACTGGGCAGCCCACTCAAAACCAAAACAAAAAAGACACCTTTCTACTACACACAGTGCTGGTTCAAATCAAGATCGGGTGGCTTGGCCCATCACCCTTGGTGCCCACACCCACCCAAGGACAGCCACGAAAGCCGCCTCTTCTTGCCGCTGCCTCAGCAATGGAACCACATTGTTTCCGCCCGACTTTGAGCTGTCTGAGTCTGGGCTCCTCGAAGACTTGCCATAGAACCCCCGAAAAATGCCGCTGTCTTAATAAAAAGAGGAACACCATCTTCCAGCTCTCCACTTATTCATGGTCCCCGTTTTTTGTTGCGCTGTCCTGGTTGGGTCTACGGATCCGAGCCGGTGAACGATGCCCCCGTGTGTCATACTCACCATGTGTCATGCCCCATGTGAATCATGAATCTCACCGCTCATCACCACTCAGGACCGGGCTGCTTTGTCCAACACTTCTGGACGAGGTGGAAGGCGCAGGTAACTCCAACCTCACATGGAAGATCTAGGTGTCAAAATCACCTCTGTTGATCTATATATAGTAAATCATGCGGTTGGTGAGATGATAAAGGATTATGTTTAACCACTCAGCGGTATGTGCAGTTCGTCACTCTTCAGAGCCTAATCACCAAGTTTGCTCCTGAGTTCTTCTTAGAAACATAAATGGGTGAATGGATATGAATGGATGCCGGCATCCTGATACTTTGGCCATGTCTGTTGGTTGCAGAATTTCTCCAACATCAATGTCATGTCTCCACACAAACCTTCTATATGGAAGACTCCAAACAGGGGTAAGGAATCGTCCCTTCCTTACCCTGAAGAGTCTGCGCAAGTCTTCAAATGAGAGTGGTGGACAAAAGAAGAGTGTTTGAATGTAGAGTGAAGTACAGTGAGTGTGCTTTGGCGTCCCGGTTTTATCTTGTTTCTGGATTGGGTCTGTGGCTGTAGGCGCTTGGTTGGCAGAAACTTTAGAATGTCAACAAAAATTGAAACAGCCAATTTGAATCTGTGCCTACCTGGAGCAACTGGACAAATGTGGCCGTGGGTCAAAACCCCGTCACCCTGGTTGACCGCAGAAAATGAACAGCTTCCTCTAATAGTCTATAAGGGATGTCAACCCACCAAGAAATTGTGGCTCCGGTTTTGACCCATTGCCATGTGTGTTAGTTAGCGAGTTGAGACATTTCCTGTTCAACTATCGGAGCTGGCGGTGATGAAAGAATCAGGTGGGCGCAGGCAGTGTGGGTAACTTTGTGAAAGGTTTACCTTTCCGTCTTGGCACCTTGTTGCATAGTGCATTAATTTCTGCATATTGCATCCCAGGTCCCCTGTGTGAGCGTGGACAGTTTTTGGTGATGCATGCTGGGAAGTTGACCAAAGCCGCAAAAGCTTTTAGCCGCAAAAGCCGCAGGAGTAGATTCGAAGGGACTCCTTGTCCAGTGTCTGTCCAGGAAGTCCATTGACTTATTTCCTGGTGTCATGTCCTGCTATCTGTTCTGATCTGAGCTTCTCTTCTCGGCTCCAAGTCTACACAAGGGAGCTTTAGACTCAACGGACGAGTTCCACCGACGAGATCCATCGCCGCGCCCCAGTCAACTTGGTCAACCTCTTCTTTCCCCTCCAAGCTTCCGCACAGCCTGCTGGCGCGCTCCTTCTCGGTCATGCGGCGGAACTCATTCTTGTTCTTCCTCAGCAGCTGGGCATCCTTCGGCGGAGAAAGCGGGATCAGGCGAAGAAGGAAGCCAAAGAGCAGAGGCCTTCAGACAGCAGCTCAAGAGTCTGCTTCCTCCTGTTCCGGTAAGGTTGGTTTTTCACGCGTTGCTTTGTACCAACAAAAATCATACTGAACACAATCCAATTTCACACTTAGAATGACTGTATATGACAACTGACTCGCACAGAGCAGCATCCGTCCTGGTCGCGCTGTGTGCTGATGAAGCGAACCTGCTCCATGCTGGATGTGTTGCAATCAACGTGAGGAGACCAAACAGGTACCGATCAAAGGCACTACCACCAAAATGTTTAGTTAGTCACTTCGGCCACTTTGGTCACTTGGCACTCTCATATGAACCAGCAAGAACTTTGGACCAGCCCCAAACACTCTTCGGCCTCAGTTTTCTTCAACCTGTCAAGGCAAAGGTCTGCTACCTGGCAGCGACTGAGATCCTCTGGGGGAGAACAGAATTCCTTTGGGATCCAAAGGAATCATATCAATTAAAGCTGTAATTAAACCAGGGAAGCACTGTCTTCAAAAATGCTGAGTTAGGATGAACACAGGGTCTTCAAAGTGGGAGCAAATGGGGCTACTCAGCTACACCCATTCAGAGTCTTCTTTACTTCTTGATTCCGGCCGAACTGCAACTACAGCACATGTCTCAGAAATCTGCTCCTCGCTCTCGACCCAATCGCATCGGCCTCCCCGATGCTGCTGCAGTCATCAAGATCCTGGTTTGCTTTCACGAATGAACCGTGGAGAACCATTTAGATGTGTTTCTTCACGCCTGCGGCGAACAAAGACACATGCCAAAACCGACGACCCTGATGCCAATCACCAAGGCCTTTTGGCAAGGCCTTTCGTGCTGTGTTTTCACCCACCACACCTCGCTGTGCAGAAGCCCTCACTCGTTCGGAAGCTGATTAATATAGACGCACTGCCTCGTTTTGTGTTCACAGGTCGCCTGCCGGAATTCGTTGATAAGAATGATGAGACACCCGGCAGCTATACAAGTACCATGCACCAACTGATGCTGTTCTTGGACTCTGCCCTCATGCTCCTGCCTTGATGCAAAAGAGCTATCCATAATTTCTTGGAGTCTGTCTTTGCATCTCCCTTCTCGTCGTTTTTCGCCGAACCGGGTTCCTTCTCGTTGATGACCTTCTTGGGATAGTGGATGGGGTCGATCGAGCACTCCTGCCGTGGTGAGCGCCAACCGCCCAGCCCCACTCAGTGCGTATCAAGATCTCCAACTCTTCAACCCCCCCCAAGAATAGGAGAAAAGTCAATGGAAGAATCCGTTGCTTCCAGAATGGCCCTGGCGGTTGAAAAAGGGTCGTGTGTCGTCACGATGGTCCATGGCTCCTCAAAGACCTTCAGCCAATTGGAGCAAAAGCGTTTGAACCTCGGGGGAAGCGATGGAGCACGGGTCCTTGAGCCCAGTGTCGCTCCCTCCAACTGGTGGAGGTGATATCTCCGTCAGCGGACGTGCATTTACATCGAGCAAGCCCGTATACCGCCTCGTATACCGCACCGTATACCGCCCCTGACCCATCCCGAAACCTTCTGTGTCTGAAGGTATCCCCACTGTCGAAGAACCTGCTCTGCATCCTGCCAGAGCCAGCAGAATTCATTACTTTCAGAACGAGTCTTTCCTTGACTGCACTCAGAACTTGTTTGAAGGGATTCAGGACGGAGCAAGTCTACAAAAGACACAAACTGCTAGTTTGGTCGTTTCGCTCCAGTGATTCCATAGTGGTCGAACAGGCCAATCATCTCTACCAAGGAGGCAACCCGATCGGCCTTGGTGCCAGCAAAGACTTTGTATCTTTCCCTGGCAGGACTCGCAGGCAGGCTTGAGGCTCTGAACATATTACAATAAGAGTTCCTTGGGTCTGCCTCTGGTGGGCACCTGCGGTTTTTGCATTGTGCTACTTCACAGAATCTCTATGTAAAGGTGAGGAAAAGCATTGTGGCTCCCTGTGTGGTCTCGACCCATCCACGCAGGCGGTTTCAAACCGGTCGCAAACCCATCCACGTCGCCACTCTCATGGGTGCGTCTTCCAGAACGAAAACGAATAAACCAGCATCATCTCGTCGACCAGTGTCACGCGCACAAACACCATCCACCACCATCCACCACCACCATTCTATAGGGCTACAGATCCATCTCGATAGCCTGAGGAAGGTGTCTCGTGAATCCATGTCTCTTGTGTCCACAAGAAATGGTGACGCTGTGCTAGAGGGAATTCCAAAAGGGTTTGGTATGTCAGGAGTGCCCACCGGAACTGAAAGGCCTTCTAGAACAAAAGATTGCTCTTCGCTCCAGTCCCAGAAAAGGCGCGTTTCAAACACGAAAAAGTTTCCCACACCAACTCTCCACCAGCCCCAGAACCTTTGAACCTTCAATCTCCACTCCAAGGCACTTGACCCGCTCCAAGAAGCGTTGGAAATCCCGGCGCTTGGACTCGAACGTCCGCTCCGCCAGCCCGGCAGAGGACCTGGAGTGGAGACCGTGTCGAGCGGAGAGCGGCGGAGCCGCGGGACGTGTGGGACCTGTGAATGAATTCCACTGGAATCTCTCTACAGGACATGTTGTGGAATGAGAGCGAGATGGAACTTGACCGCCGCATGCAGTGAACGCAATCGATCCGCTAAGTGCACCAATTATATGCAGGAAGCAAGAAGTGTAGCACTCTTCTTCGACCCGAAGCCTTTTCAATTATGTTTCCATGCTGCCACCACACACTGGTTGGCCCGTAGCTTGACACAGTGTCGCAAGAGTCTTCACGGGCAAAGTCTAGAGTCTAGAGGAAAGTGCTCTATCCTCCATCAAGCACACTGAACCAGCCCAACCGCATCTGAGGATTCCAAGCTCTGCTGACTTCGACAGCAGGCCATCCATGTCGGAGAGGAGGTCATTGTAGGATCGTGCCAAGTTTTCCTCTCACGGTCGACGTCAACAGCTGCACTATGAACAAACAGTCCAAACCATCCGACGCACCACTTCACTCATAAGATCTGAGTGGAGATCTCAGAGTGGAGATCTGCTGGAGACCCTTCTGGGCCTACAACCAGTCAGGCCTGACTAGAACAAAAAGAACCTTCTAGGGTAGACCACACAGCTGTTTCATTGAACAAAAGACAGGCCCCTAACAAATGGGCTTTGGTGGCAAACCCCTGCACCGAAGCCCAAGTGTTCCGCCTTCTCCACTTTGGCTGCCCTCTGTTTGGCTTGTAGCCGATCATCATACTGGCCGATGATGGTCAGGATGTACCAAATGCAAGGTGTGATGAAGACCTGGGTCTCTGGCGGCCGCATGCTTTCTGCTTTAAACCTGCTTTAAACATGCTCTTCTCCGCAGTATCTTTCGAGTTGGAAGACAAAGGTCCCAATCTTTTGGGATGGCCCATTCCAAATCTTTGGCTTCTTCACATGTGCTGACTTGAATTGGCACTGTGGAAAAGGATGTTTTCCCAGGATTCGACCACTCGGCCGACAACGCACCGCTCGGGAAATGGACGCGTTATGATCGCGCACCGTGTACGTCCATGTCTTTCCCATTTGCCACGTTGGCACGTTGGCCTTTTTGGAGCTACGTCGTCCCATGCGCCCTGCGCCACGCCGCCATGCCCACTGGCCCAAGCCATGCACATCCATGCACTCCCGGTTTTATTCGGCCACTAGTGCCACGTTGACCATTTGATCAGACCCTACATGTGTTTCGCTTTTTGGAGATCCTCATTCGGATCTGTCCAAGTGACCAATGAGAGAATCTCTTTCACGCACCCCGTCGCCAAGCCTCGGTCGCATCGCTTTCGGGCGGGGAGGAGAGGAGTCTTTCTTTGGTTCACGTTCTTTTGGGGTTCGGGTTTTTGAGTCATTTTTGTTCAAAAAGCCACATCTCTCGGATGAACTCTCCGAGTTTTCGCAGATTCTGATCCAAACAGCAAATTTCGGCACAGTTTCGTTGGGAATCTAGCCAGGCACTTTGTCATCAGAGTACTTTCCTGGAGCCATCAGTCATGAGCATCTACAAAACAGCGGCAATCGCCATGGTTCCTATCCAACCACCACCAACAGCAAGCACTTCCAATGTCCTTCCTGGCTACTCACCTCTCTCTCTCTCTCTCTGTCTTTCCGGCTGCTCTCTATTCTCATTGGGCACTATTGAGGAATACTGAGACTCCCACATTGGGCGTTGAACAGCTTCCACAAGGTTCGCAAGATCTGGACACGTTTCTTCACAGCAACGACTTCGACCCGGCTGCCGCTTGGATCCCTTGTCTTCCACGGCAAACCTAAGCCTATGGCATCTGCCTACGTTTAGAGTCGCTCAATTGATGGTTGCCCAATGTTCTCCTTCATTCATTGATGATCCCAACATGCCAAGAAGAGTGAGTGTAGCTGAAAAACCTGGCAACTTGCTGCTCTGCCAGCTCTGCTATGTCTGTAGGCTCAAGCCCCCCGCATGGGACGTAGCACCGTCCCTGGGCTCGACCCGTCGTCCGGTGCCTCCACGGTACATGCAATGGTACCCACCTGGGTCAAGACAACAACGTGACCAACCGAGACGTCGGAGTGACTGACACAGAACATCACCGCAGTCATCCCTGGTCACGAAGATCAAGGCCAAATCACCGGGGAAAAACGCCAAAACAGAGAATCACTTTCTGCATGTGAATTACATGGTAAAAAAAGGAAAGAACCTGTATGTTGAGATGTTCTTCTGCCATCGATGTCTGCTTCCATCGATGCAGTGAAGCACGGCACTACCATAATTGAACTTCCACAGAAACCATGTCAACTGTGGATTCGAAGTTTTGGATGTGCGTCTCGCAATCAGCTTTTCCTTCAAAGGGGTAGGTAGTAGAGCTGGCCCAGTTCTGTCGAAATGTTGGACAACGATTGAAGCAGCGCCCCTCCTTCGGTGTTACAAGAATTTGGTCGCTTGCTGCTTGGCACTTGCTGCTTTTCATTCAACATCAATAATGCACTTGAATGGCTGCCGAAGTCTGCCCAGCCCGATCCACTCATCTCGAAGAAATTCCGCATCTGTGTGTCCGACCACCAGAATCAAGTGGGTCCAGTCCTTGTGCATAGGGCTGGACTGGCGGGGCGGCTTGGACTGGACACCTAAGACCTACACCACCGCAGGATCTCCTATATCTCCTATAGGCATACGGCACCGGAGTTCACTTGCTTTTGACCGCATCACGAGTTACGGCCACAAAGCAATGGAAACCCAGGGCCCAGCCGGGCCCAGCAACCCAAACCTGTGACAACCATGACCCAAATCATCCATGTATCTGTATATATAGTAACTTAGTACTTGCAAAAAGGAGCCCCAAACCACACAGGACACCAGTGGTTGATTGGTAATGTTTGTCATAGGGGTACACCAACATATGTACCCGAAGAATCGTGTGCGATTCTCTTGGCCTTTTCCTAAGTCATAACGTCTCATGGTCGTCGTATGATGAAGATTTGCAGCATCGGACGTGCTGGCTCGTGCCGTGCCAAGTGACTCAAGAAAAACAAAGAAACAAAATGAGGGCTGGGACCTGGGCTGAAAAGGCGAACAAATCAAAGCACGCTGTCCTGTATCTTCATCCATGTGGCGGGAATGAGAACTCTGACCTGAAAAAAGCAACAAACAAAGCTGCGCAGCAAGCTCAGCAAGCTGCACTTCAAAACCATGTAGTGAGGCCCTCGGGGGGACGATTCTTGTCAAATCAGGGTGGGATCCAACTCCAAACAGCTCTGATTCAGGGTGTGCTCTCTATCTTTGACCAACACCCTCCGGGGGCTCCCGGAGCCCTCGGGCTCGCTCCTTGCTTCCAAACACGCTCCTTTTTGGATGCCGTTCGCACGCCTGCACTGCGCAAATCCAGCTACAGTTTGGCGACAGCCCGGCAGAACTTCACAGCTTTGCACCTCAAGGAATCCGCTCTTTGCAAGCGGATAGGAGCAGATCTTCAAAGACGAACAAGCAGGGGCTAGGAAGGGCTGAGCTGACCTGTGTGCAGTGGCCGACTGGCCAAGCCTTTAAGTTTGATGACATGCTAGCCTGCTAGAAGTGGAGTTGGCAGTTAGGCTTCAAAATCGACTTCTTCAACGCCAACGCATTGCCAGGCTCAGTGTATTGCATGACCCTGCTTCACTGCTCCGATGCTGGCAGTGCCAGTCTCGAATTCATAGCTCACTCCTGCGAGTCCCACCACAAGCTGATCACAGGCACCCACCCCGCCGTGTCGGTCTTACCGGATGGAGTCACCTTTTCAGCATATGCCCAACCTTCAGGCGTCCGTGATGAGAGATTCACTTTGAGGACCTCACCTGAAGGGAAAAGCAGTGAGGTAGAGAGCCAGCGTTGAGTGGTGTTTGTGATATCCCGAAAGAATCATGTGTTTTTTCCAACATACTCCTTGAAATAACAAAATACGGGCCGCCCCACCTTCTTCCACATTCAACTGGCTTTCGTGAACCGCAGGCATGGTCTTTTGCACCAAAATCCAAGCATGTCCATCCTGTTCGTCTTCAAGTGCAAGGGAGGGCAGCCAACCAGCCCTGGATGCATCCATTGGATCCTCTGCGTAAATCCACCCCAGGTCCTTAACTGCAAGGGTCATGCCAAGAGTCATGCGGGCCAAAGGGTTCCGAAAACAAATGCATAAACAATGGGAACGTGAGGACTGGTGGAGATAGGGAATCCCTTCATCTTCATTTCCCACCTGGCTCTATATCTTTCGGTGGGCTGACTTGTAGTCAAACGAATCTCCTCCGAGATTCTGTTTGAGTGTGAGGCCATACGCGGAGGAAATCACCTGCCTGTGCAGCAAGCAACGTATCTTCCTGCCCTGAAGCATCTTGGCAAACTCGTCGAATTACTTTGAATCGGCCAGATGTCTCCTGGCCGTCCTGGCCATTGAACAGCACACCAATGGGTCAAAACTTCCAACAGCAAAGACCTACACTCTGACTCACTCACATGGAAGTAGCTTCCTACCCCCCCCGCGCGCGCGCGCGCGCGAAAAGGTCCTAGTAGATTCCTTTGCTAGTAGGAACAAGTGCCTTACTGGTAGTAACAAGAAGCTAGTAATTACAATTCTAATTAAATTCTTATTGTTACTAGTAGTAAGGCACTTGTTCCTAGTAGCGTGGCACTTGTTACTACTAGCGATGCACTTGTTGCCCCTTGGAAGACGTCTTTCTTTTTGCCACTTCGGTTAGTGAGTCCAAGGGTGACCAAACTGACGTTCCTCCTTGCTCTCCACATGCTCTGCTGCTTGCGATTCCACCGTGGTTAGACTCGTAAGGCTCCGGAGTCTTGGCGTAGAGACGGAAGATGCCTAGGCTGAACAGTACTATCTTGATGGACAAAAGACAAGGAAGAAAAGGAGATGCAAAGTCCGAACAATTGTGTTTCCATTCCTGATCTGATTCTGGTCGATTCTCACGGAGAAATCGTTCGCTAATCCAGGTGCCTTGCTTTTTCACTTCAGGTCCCAGCCATATCCAACTGTGTTCTGCAAAACTTGATCAAGAATGATGGCCAATAAATATTATTAAAATATATATTATCTATACAGTATATAACTACTACAGCCCCCAACTCCTTAGATACCAGCCCCGACAGGAATTCGGCAGGTTGTTTGCACTCCATGTATATGGTGGTTGATCTAAGTTCCTCCTTACGAAGACGCCATTCTTCGCGAGAAAATATATGTTACTTTCGCGAATCCTCCTTTCGCGAACTGCGTGTTGGACTCTCGCATGGGGTATATCCTAGAAGTCTTCGAAGCTTCACAGATCTATCTTTCGCAGATCTTTCGCAGATCTTTCGTGAAGGGCTCTGAATGAACTTAGGCCCTATGTCGACCTTTTGATCAACTACCATATACACTGTGAGAGTGCATTTCACCCCAAACATACTCCAAGTATAGTGCGGCAAGAACAGCTTGCAAAAAGCTCTAAGGCCACAACAGCTTGAGGCTTTGATATGCTTGATGGTTTCCCGTTGTCTTCCTAAAGAGGCTTCTGTGGTCTACTTTCCTTTCCTTCCTGTCTTCGTGACAAGCCACTGTCGTCGAGTTGTCGTCTCTGGACTTATTGCGAGCTGTCTCCGAGCTATCCTCGGCAGCATCCAGTCAGTGGTCATGAGTGTCTTGGGCGAGGTCAAGTCCTTTTGTCCCAAAGAGGACACAAGAGTGTGTTCCAGTCTCCAACCTCAACGAAATTGGGGTAAAACATGGTAAAACTAAACCTGTTGATTGATGGAAGAATCGCCCGTGCCAGCTGGAGCCTCCAGCTGGCCCCGTGAGATAAGATGGTTCGTCCTTCTTCTCATGCCGCGTGGAGGGACAAAAAGCCCACAAATCATTGAGGCACATGCACATGGGGGATAAGGAATGTCGGGCCTTTTTTGCATCTGAGAAGTGCCTCAAAGTTACAGATACACACCACAATCACTCACACACACTTTCTTCGACCCACGGCTCGACCACACAAAGCTTCACTCATGCCGCATGCCCCCTCCCTTTTGTGTCCAGGTGCGACCACACTTTTGGGAAGTGGTGCCAGTGACTCCGCGCCCCGGGAGACGAGGAGATCGATTGCTCTGTTCACATCCCAAACGCACTCAGCCAAAGCCTGGAGGCGAGACATGAGAGACACAGGTGGAACACGTGGCACACCGGACACTACAGATTCCAAGTGGCGGAGTAGAGAGAGAGGCAAGGCTTTAAGGAGGGAGGGGGTTCTGAAGTGGGCGGTTTTTTGCATGCTTTTGCTGGGTACATCTGAAGAAATGGCTGTGCCAAGTACACCCACGTTCTGAACAGAAGTGTCTACGGTCTACGATCTTCCAAAGCTGGAAGACAACACAAGATCGAGTACGATCTGCGGGTCGAAGACCTTTTTGTTGAGCCACCTGCATAAGGCGTTCTTCATAAGGCCACCTGTAGAAGGCCTTCTTAGAAGACCCCTGTCCAGACACCTGTCCTCGCCCGTGTCGATCCCCAGCCTTTCGTGCTTTCGACTCACAGAAGCCCATGTCCTGGCCACCGGAGAGCCCCGATTCCCCCCGTGTTCCGCGCGTTCCGTCGATGCTCGGGACATTTGGGGACCTTCCAGGTGATGGACATCTCCATCAACGCTATCTTGGCTTCATTTTGACCATCTACAAAAGCACATGAAATCCAATTCAATCCATTTCTGGTTCCCTCCTTTTCGAATGTCCAACATCTCCCACGAACCCGAATAGGTCCTTCAGATGGGCGACGTGGCCTGCCACAGCATCGTTGGAGATACCGGGCCCCTTCCAAGCGCCGGCGCTTCCGGGCTTCGATCGCTGAGCGGGTGCCATCTTCCACTGAGAACGGCTCAGAGAAGATATCGCGGGTCGCACTTTGCGCGGATTGTTTGGATCGCACGGACGAGAGCGGATCACGTTCACAAGCGAGGCTTGAGCAGCGTTTCGGACAAAACATGTTCCACTACTCATGCAATGCAAGGGAAAGAGCATAAAAAGCACAGGCTCGTGATGTGAGTTTCTTCTCTTTCCTGCGATTTCACAACTTGATGTATGATTGTCTCGAAATATGAAGATTGTTCAACCATAGCCCCAATAGAAGGACCAGCAAATGAAACACAATAGGCCATTGGTCATCAAGAATTCCCTCATCTTGAGACAGACCCATTCTATCCCATCTTCGTTGAATTGACCTGCAAGTATGTGTGGTCCCCGACCGCCGATGGGCAGCAGCCAAAAATCCTCAGTTTGAGCGGATCTATGGAAGAGCAACCAAGGTGAACCTTTCCAGAAAGGGCTACATGATCGCCCACGCGGTAGGGAAGGTTTTTGAGCGTTATATATGTCTGCAATCTCTACCGGAGGGGGTGGCAGTTTTTAGGTATCCATGATGCAGGTGAGAGACCTTCCAATGCTTGCCACAAGAATGAAGTGTATCTTGCTTCGGATCATGGCTCTGTGTTTGAAGCAGTAAGGCTGGTGGGCAACGTCCAAAGACTTCCAGGCATTTGGTCATAGCCGAGCGGACTAAAAGAAGAGGCACACCGCGGACATCTATGAGCCCATTGGGCGTCCATGAGCCCAGCATGCAAAGAATTGCAAAGAATGTATACTTCTGATGTATCTCTACCTACGCCTGGCTCTATCCCAAAGCACTGACACTGTGGCTCGACCGAGCCGCACAAGTCCCAACGCAGGGCCACAAACAAATGGTCGTGACTCATGACACCCATTGACCCTGATTGACAGCATTTTTCAGCTAAAAACTGTAGGGTTCTCACTCCTCAACGACTGGGTGGCTGGTGGGCGTTTCTGGTGCGCCGTGCGCCGCTACTGCCTTGGTCTCCCCACTTGGTCTCCTTACATGGTCTCCTCCACTTGGTCTCCCCCAATGCTCTCCCCACGTGAGTGAGCGGCGTTGGGTTTGCCCACTGGTGCCTTGTCTCCTTACTTGTCTCGGCACTCGTCTCCTTACTTGTTGTCTGCCGGTGTGATCCGCAGAGCCTGCGTGATCCGTGTGACCAGATTTGTGGAGGTCACGCTCACAGCCACTGGAAGTTCTCGCGGATTGTTTGTGAAATTCCTTGGTTTCCTTGTCTCAGGTGCTTCTGTTTTTAGAGTCAGTTGCTCTCTGTGGCGGTGTAAAAAGTGGGAGGTAGTGGAGCAAACGGTCACCCGAGTTTTGAGCATCACTCAAAGCAGCCCCTTTCAGAAAGCAGCAGACTTAGCAAGGCTGCTGTGAGGTCCTCCCTGCAATCTACTCACCCGTTACCCATCATGGGCGAAAATTGGTAGACGATCAGTTTTACGAAACACATGCACATGTCGACCATAGTTTGGGGTACTCGATCTTGTGCTCTAGTCCGCACACTACTCACCCCATTACCCTCAGGAGTCCCAGGAGGGGTATTCTAGTACATATCTACAGAAGAACTATGCGTTCACTGGGGCATTTCACTGTGGTGGGAGTATTAAGTGTGCGCCCTTGTCGAAGAGACCGCCAAACCTTATCCTGAGTTTCACACCTTGGTTCAAAGGAGAGTTCAGAACAAGGCACAGTGGGAATAGTAGGCTCTATGATGCTCCAAGGTAGGCAATAGGAATGTGGATGTGTACAGAACGGTGGGTTACAGTCAAGAGCAAGAACGATCGTCTGGTTCCGTGTCTTCATTGTTATTTCAGCATTCGGAACCAGACATGCCAGAAAGTGGAAATAGCTGTGGTATGGTTGTGGTTTGGTCGCGAAAGAGGCATGCTCGGACAGTTCTTGCTTCAACTGAAAGCCGTCGAACCGAGCCGGTCAACGAGCCGGTCGGGGATCCTTTCTTCAACGGTCGACCAAGTGCTGGACTCGATGGGGAAGCACTTCGAGGTGGATGCCTCATCCTTCAAAGGTCAAAAAGCCAAACATCGGGTGCCTTCGGGGTGTCAGAGGGGTCCAGGGTCTACAGATGTTTAACCAAAGATCTGCCTCATTTGAGGGAGGTCAAATGAAAAAAGCGACGAACATCCTGTAGGTTCGATTCTTCTGCAACTGGTGATCCACGTCATCTGGAAAAGAAGTTCGGCAAATTCTTCATCTTCCACCGGTTGGGGTTATACAGATCAGGTCTTCAGATCAAATCAAATCAGTGCTCCGCTTCACTCTTCAACTGAGTGAAACTCAATCAGGTAGCGATGGTGAACATTCCAAGCATGCATTTATGTGAACTATGGTGCTTGTGGTAATGAGTTTTGGACCCGTAGGCGCCGTAGCCCGTAGTCATTACGAGTTTTCCCGCTGCTGGCCGCAAAACCTGCCCCGGACCCTTGAAACCCATCCAATTCGATCAATGTCGCCATGTCCTCCAGACCAGCCTCGCACACCGGTGCTGGCCTGGCTTTCGGTCCTGCTTCCCCGCCCTCGTGGCCTCGGAGTTCGTGCTGAGAGTGCGCGACTCCATGACCGTTGGTGCCTCGCGGTGGCCAACGGAACCGACGGATCGACGCAGGACCGGTCGGCCATTGGGGCAGCCGGAAATGCCATGGCATTCGCCATGCATTCGGTCTGAGAAAATCGAGCGATTTGATGTGTAGCTTGGTCGTAGCTCAGTGAAGTTTTGCTGTTGCCTTTTGCGGCCATTTTCATCCTTACCCACCATTGCATGTAGACTGTAGACCGGACCAGAAAAGGGTATGGAAATGAAGTTGCGACCCCCCATCTGCCGCGCCTGCAGACTCTGAGACTAGCTGGTCAGCTCTGCATCGTGCAAAGCGAGCAAAGCTTGGGCCAGCTACGTGAAAGATGCAACGGGCAGCAACGGCAGCAAGCAAGCTCCGTGCCAGGCCAGTCCAGTGACAAAACACCAAAGACACCAACAGCCGCTAACAGCCATTGCTCTTGGAGCAGCTTTGAACAACACTCTAGTACAACTCTGGATGCTTGGACTCTTCAAATTGCTCGTCCCTATCTTGACTTCCTTGATTTCATGGAGGGGGGCAGGTCTGCTCGTCTCAGAAGGTCTGCTTGGCAGATTCTTTCCACATGTGAGACGGGACCCCTTCACGAGCTATGGGACAATTGGCTGTGGGAACATCTTGGATCAGCAAACGTATCTACTGTATATCGTCCAGACAACCAACACGGACCACCTTGGACCATCACCACTGGTTGCTTGAAATCCAAAAAGCTCCCATGCGCCGCACGAAGACGGGAGCGACCACCGCTCGAGCACCGAGCACCGAGCTCTGAGCTCGCGCTTCCGTCTCAGACCTTGAAGTGCTTCGTCTCTTGCACCTCGCGGAGCCACCGAGTGAAAGCCCCCCCAAGCCGGTCACGACCTCACAGAGCCAGTCATGCGGACCCAATCGCGGCAAAAGTCACCTACGAAGTGATCTTATCTGATCCGTCCTGCCGACGAGACAAAGAAGTTGGAACACTCAAAAATTCCAAACCAGCAGAACATAGAATACTCCAACAATGTGTTCCCTTTGCTGCTCGATCTGGGTGAAATTCCCTAGTCCGACTAAAGGATGACCACACTCATGCTCCTCTCTTTTGGAACCAAATCCATCCAGATCTTGCGGTCTTCGATTTCAAGGTTGGAAGAAGAGCGTTTTGGACCACCCCATGACCACCCACATCCAAGCGGACCACCAACATCCCGACCACCAGAGCGAACCTTTGAGGGAAAGAGCTCCTCCTTGTGCTCATCCTTCTTCCGACGCCTCGGGAGCCGCCACCGAACAAAGAGGCGGAGCTCACGTCGCCCGGGGGCATCCGGACTCCGACTGGGCAGCGACCAGGGAAGTGGAAGTCCGGTCTGTGAGACACGACATGAGAGACCGACGAGACCGAGGCACGGCCCTCTTTTTTGGCGGTGCAAACACTGGGCGGTCAGACCCAGGACATGATGAAAATGTGCCAATTCCACAATTTGTTTAAGTAGATCAAGCAATCCGCGAGCCAATCAACCAGAAAGGGCTTCTCCGGTACTCGATAAACGAAGAATCAAAGTATCCGTCCCTCCAGGTGTCTGAGCCCTAAGCCCAGAACTTGACACCCTGAACCATTTCCTAAATATCGCCTCAGTTGCCGGAATCATCCAAAAATCAGCCCTGAATGCTCAGATCCTTTCACTGAAAGCCTCAAGAAAAGCACCTGCTTCACTTTGCACCCGCAAAGAGACACCTTCTTCCCACCTGTCTAAGACTTGGAGGTTGGCACCCTCCATTTCCCTCCCTCTCTCCCGCTCAAGCCACGCCGCTGGCTCAGCACCTCTGCGAATTGAGAGGTTCTCAGCTTCTCCAGCCCGATCGCATCGCCTGAGTGACGCCGCGTCGCCCGGACGAAGGACGCGACATCGACCCCAGAGACGTCGAACGTCCCGGACGGCTTGGTCGTCAGGATTGAACGGACGACCGTTCTGGCAAGCCGAAGCTGCAGACGGATTGCTCACCCTGGAGGTTGGCGGAGTTGGGGATTGGGATTGGAGGTCTCCCTGCGGTCCTGTTCAGAGAGTTCAGAGGCTCACCCACCAACCGGTCATGAGAAAGACAACCGGTCATGATCCTTGTTGGAGGACAATCTTCCACCAACTCTGGGTCTTAGACGACCAACTGGAACAACCGGAAAGCCATCTCAAAGAGATCGGGTCTCATCTGCAGCTTGCCATCCCCGAATCTGTAGCGAAGCAGATTCCACGCTGCTCATGTCCTGTTGATTTCGACAAACCCCGGACATCAGTTCACCAGCAAAAGGATTCGAAGAGGTTCTGCATTTGTCATCTCAGGCGGTGGACATCTTCCTTCAGAAGGCTTCCCCTCCCATCCCTCCCATGTTCTTCCATTTGCGCAGGTGGGCCTGCCACTTGCACTCGAGTGCCCAGCGGCTGCGGAGCCTCCAGTTTCAACTCACTGGAAGCAAAAATGGGCACGGCCATTATGAATTGCAACAGCCCAATTGCTAGGATGCTGTTTGTCTGTATAGGATGTTCCTGCTCGTTTCAATTCTACAAGTAGAATTGAACAAACACCGAACGTGCCAAGTCTCGAGGAAAGTGGTCGTCCACTGAGGAACTTGCACGGTGGAAACCTATGCTCTTCATGCCGCCGGGGGGGCCCTTGTCCACTGGTTTTGCACCACACCGAGCGCATCCGCCAGTGAGGCTTTTCCTCACCGAACCGAAAACCACTTAGTCGGTCAAACAGAAGCCTGTTTCCGCTCTCTTCTTCCAGAGCAGCGGCTTTGGGGTCGAAATTGGTCAGAACATTCCAGGTCCGGAACTCACAAGAAGTCATAGAGGTCTTGGCTCGTGGCTTTTGGCCTCTTCCACGTCGCTGTTGGCTGTCGCCAAGGTCTCAGGAGGTCCATCGCAAGTTGTGCCTCTGCCGGACTGCAACTGGGCCAAACCCCATAGTACGCAGCACTCCCGGGTGCACCACCGTCCGCAGGAGCATCATTCAGGCCCAATCCCCCGGCAGGTGGACCAGGCGGTAGGCTGAGCAGCAAAGGTTGCCCGCCTTCGGGCGCCGGCTGTGCTAGGCGCGCGATGCGCTGTACCTTGTAGCACATAAATGGTATGCCACCTGCTGTCATAGGCATTCCCATCTTCGAATCAGCCAGGGATGATGGTAGGCTCGGCATAGCTGGTAGAGCAAATTGGTGCGAGTGATCGGAAAAAAGGCCTGTTTAGCCATGCCCTGCCGTGTGTTGATAAATCTTACAGCTCCTTGCTCCTAATAGAAATGCCCTTGTTCCTAGTAGCTTCTTGTTCCTTGTAGTAAGGCCAGGAGCTACTAGTAGCGTCCTTGCTCCTAGTAGCAATGCCCGTCCTTGCTCCTATTGGCAAAAGAGACACTGAATCAACTCGCCAGGTCCCTGAGCCTTCCAACTGGCGAGCGAGCGCGACGTGCTGCGACCGGGGAACGCGGGAATCTCGGTTCGGAGGTGAAATGTTTCGGGCGACGCTCATCCGACCTTTGACCTTGGGCCCGCGGGAGAATGACTTCTGAGGTCTTGAAACGAAGTGAACAAGTCTTGTGTCAATTGGCCTGCTTTAAAGTCGGCAATGGTTCTTAACTTTCAAGCCCTGGTGACCTGGCTAGGCCAAAGGGCTCAACTCAGTCCATATTGCTGCAAAAGAAACAAGAGAGCACACCATGTTCCTCAAGAGTTCCTCTGAAACCAGTGGGTTGCATTCCATCAAGTGGAAGAGAACATGGCCGGAAGAGTGTGCTCAACCCTTCAAAAGAATCCTGCCATTCTCCCACATCTACAAAGAAGAGCGACTTCGCTTCTGGACCAACTGAGTGTCCTGAGGCCCTGGTCTTTTCCACACCAACCAAAAAGTCTCAAACATCCCGAAAACCGGTATGCACTTCTTACATCTTCCTGGTTTGCACCGAACACTCCAGAAATTGAGAGAAAATGTTGGATAGTTGGACTGATGAATTCCTTTTTGTTTTGGCTCGGGCGGGGTGGGCCGAGGTAGCTAGGAGAAGTTAGGTAGCTAGAAAAGGTAGCTAGTAGCTTAAGTAGCTACTACTTACGACGCAAATAGTTCCCGCTTCTTCCAGGAAGCTCCCCCCGCCGCCCTAGTTCCTTGAAGAAGCGATCGCACTAATGATTTGGTTCCTAGATTTTGGGGGAAACTTATATCACGTATCTCTCTTACTTAACTTAGCAATGATGGTCCGTCCTCGAGGTGACAGTGACTTCAGAAGCGCCTGGCGCATGAGCCACTCGCTCTTCGCCGCCGCCTTGGCAGGCCAGCGGTCTGTCTCGCGGTCCTGGCGACCGAGAAGCGTCCCCAGTCCGAACGGCGCAGGGCTTTGGAGGCAGTGTCGGTTGATTTCAGCTCGGCAACACGGTCAGCGGTCCGCCAGCAGACGCGACAAGAACTGGTTCACCCCGGGCGACAAATCCGCCCAATCCTCAGGTGTCAAGAGACGAAGATGGGTGTAATGTGAGTTGGGTCTTCCAGACGAAGGGCCCCCATCCTTTGCGAGCTCTCACCTTTTCCTCCTACTGCTACTACTGCTGCTGCTGCTCCTGCTCCTGCTCCTGCTCCTGCTACTGCTACTGCTACTCCTACTACTACTACTACTACTACTACTACTACTACTATAGCTACAGCGTACGTATGTCACAAGCCTCCTAGTTTGTCACTCTGAGTTCTACAGTGGACGTCCTAGCACAAACTCTGGACTCCACGCCGACCTTGTGATCCGTGCTTGCGCTCGGAACTCAAAAAGGTACCACTTCACAAACAATCGTTCTTCAAAAGCCATATCCAGGTCTCGTCTTGCCTCGAGCCTAGGATCAGGTGGCCTGTGGGCCGACTGAGATCTTTGAGATCCCGGCTGAGGGGCTGAATTCCAGGCGGTAAGGTAGGAGTTCCAGCCTTGGTATACAAAGACTCCAACCCTTCTGAAGGCGTGAAGGCGTAAAAGCAACGTTAGGCTCAAACAATCACATCAGCGCTACTGAGTGGAGAACGACAACGTTATCAATCATCTCACATGACTTACATCTCACTCCATACCAGGACCAAGGAACCTGCTAACCCTTTGCACATTGGAACTGTTGAACGGCTCGGAACTCCAGTCGGATGACAAAGTGAAACTCTACGGGGCCAGCCCTTGCAACATCTGTGGGATGACTAACAAAAGGCTTTGTCTCAAAATGGGAGGCAACTTAACCAATGCTTTGTCGCTTGGCTTTCCTGAAGTAACAGTGCTATCAGTTGGGTCAGGGGGGCCCTAGTGTGTCCAAGAACACACCAAGGAGTACCGATGCAAATCACACCTCGAATGCCGAGTACCTGGCACATCCTTCCCTCGTGTGGGGCCTTTGGACTCCAACTGCCTGGCGAATTGGCCCTCGTGTGTCTGGACTGTCCCAAGCACGACTCCTGTCTCCAAAAGAAGGATGCCAAATTGAAGAAACGACTCCTGACTCTATGTGTGCCCACAGCATCAAGGGGGACATGGGCAACAACTCGACTCGCCAACCGAATAGTAGCTCGACCCTCTTTTCATGTGTGGCCTTAGTGACATTCCGCCAAGCAAATGATGGTAAATAGCAAACGTCCCACTGCCTCTGGTCGGCTTCTGGATAGCCAATCAGCATGAGGTAGGCCAGAACTCCGCAAGTCCTCAAAGACCCACCGGAACATGCTGCGCAAATTCCCTGACATAAATTGACCAATGTGACCAATCGATCACTCTTCAAAGTGGCTGCAGGGGAGTTCGAGCTCTTTCTATCAATTTCTGCACTCGAGAACTAAGACCGTGGCCAAAGATCACACGACTCCGTGTATCTGCCTTGATACACCTGGAGAAAGGGGCTTCAAACTGCCCAAGCTTCGGCTTGGCCATCCGTAGGAAGAGATCGCAACACAAAGAGTCCAAGGGACGTTCACACTCCCAGCACAGAAAACAGGTGTCCAACACAATGCTAGTTCTTCCAGGGGGCAAGGCTTAGCACACGGGTTTTCTCAAAACAAGGAGCCCCAACCGGCGTTCATACACCTTGCCTGGAACCAAGGCCACTGAAGGCCATTGGCATGTCTCAAACACCCCTTGCCATCTGGTCTCCAGGTTCCAACCAGCCTGGGGAGAGCAGTAATAGGGTGTACCAGCCCGCTCTGTGAACACCTGAGAATTCAGAAAGTGGCCGCGTGAACACCTGGAGGACTCCAGCGAAATGCATCAGATCCCCCCATCCTGGTCGGGTTGTTGGTTCAGAAGGCCCACAGCTTAGCGTTGTGCTGCGTACTAAAAAGAAAGCCTACAGCTTGGCTCCACACATAGCCAGGAGCCACAAACTCGCTCGCGGTCTTGAAGTCAATGATCTGCACACAGACAACGAGCTCATCTACAGCTTACACCCTTGTCTGCTTCCATGCATATTCGCCAACTCCAGCCGTAGCCTATTGATGCCACTCAAAGTTCAATGTCAAGCCACAAAGCATCTGATTCTCTCACTTGTGAAGGGTCTAGACTAGGCTAGCCCAGCAGAAATGCCTTGGCTTGACAATTCGTCAAGCTCCCCTTCTCCTTCAAGAGCACCTCAAGGCAGAACATGGCAGAACTGAAGGGACCTGCCCGTGCCAGGCAGATCTAGACTCTGTGTCTGTCCCTCTGTCCGGCCAGGTCCACTGATCCAATAAAAACGCTCCTGAGACCAAAGCATGCTCCGGCTTGATGTCACGGTGGCAGATGAGCCGGCTGTGCATGTAGTCGACTCCCCTGCCCAGGGTCGCATTGGCTGGGCATCAAAAGCACTCCACCACTCTGGCTCTGAGGAGCGTACGCCACCACCTGCTGGACCACGTTGGCTGTTTCCTGAGGTCAACAATCCACCTTTTGAGATGCTCAGCTGGAGTTGTTGTCGGGGCAGTCCGAAGCGCACGACTCATGAAAGTCACTAAAAGGGGCACTAGCCTCCAGGTGGAATCATAATCATACCAATAGAATTCTTTTGTATTTCCTATTGGTCATACCAATAGAAACATGTGTGTGTGTGTGCTTCCATTGTTCCCTATGTGTAGGACCGGATGCACTGCCCATTCCAAAAAGGGGGCCACTGGGCGGCCACTGCATGTGATGCATCTATGAGACTCCATGACGAACCAATCCCCGACTCCATGACTCGGGAGATTTCCCCACCAAGCTGAGATGTGCAATCTGAGTTGACCGTCCTGCTCTGTGTGTGTCTCGGCATCCATGATGTAGTCAAAGACCCGCAGACCCTCGCACAGCCTGAAACAGAAACGTCCCAACTCTCGAAAAAGGCTGCTCGCCAACACCGGAGACTCTTCGGAGACCCCCGAAGAGTCAATCTACTATCTAATCGGGTGTGTGCAGGTGGTTTTGGCTGCCATGAGTGTTGGGGAGGAGAGACATGGCCAACCACCAGGTGAAAAGCTCTGAGTTCAGCACTCGAACACCACATAGAAATGCAGCTTGTCCTTGAAGGTCTCATGCATCCTGAAGGTGTCATGCACTCGCTCTTCGAAACAGCTTTTGTGGACCTCTGGCTGCGATGTTTGGCGTGCCTGACGATGTTCGGGTGAGCGCGAACATCCTTGAGCAGCATCACCTTCGCAAACGAAAAGGCTGTGTTCACATGCCTGTTTTAGGCTGTGCCCAAAAAGGCCAAGCCCGCCTCTCTTTTGAGTGCTTCAATGTCTACCGAAGGCATCCCCAAGATATACCTGAGCAAGTTTGAGATGGAAGACCTCTGCAGCTTCTCAATGTCTCACCATGATTGCGACGCCCACACCGTGAAAAAGAGTGAGCCATTGTGTGTTGCCCGTTGTCTTGCAAGAAAGAGAATCGGTGTGAGAGAGAGGGAGAGAGACAGATAGAAGACAGTGAGTGCTTCAAGTTGTACAGGCACCCGACCTACCCTTGCAGTTCCTCTCTCGCAAGGTGGTTTCTTGCGGCCGCTGAGTTCCTGGCTGCTTGATCGCTCTGGAGACCCCCAGCTGCTTGTGAGTTGATTGTCGGGTCTCGGTCCGCCGGTCCGACGCGCGTTTCCATCGATGCAAGACGACGGCTTGGCACGGCACCATCGAACACACAGATCGTCCGATCAAGCCATCCGCAAAGATGTACACGTCGGCAATGTACCTGGTGTACATCCGACCGGATCCCCACGAAACGGATCGGGCGTCGACGATCGGCGACCATCCACGACCGTCGAGTGCAGCTTTTCGTCGAGCAATCCTCTGCGACTTGGGCGCTTACCCAGGGTTCTCGATGCCAGTGAGATCGATGATCGTCAAGGGTGCCTGAAAAGAGCATTTGGGTCTGGGAGCATGGAAACCCTACGGTGAGAGTTTCCGAAGAATCAGCTAAACTACTCAGGCGTTGGCATGCTCGTTCAGGGACTCTTCTCAAAGGTGTTCAGGGATCAAAAAGAATCGGTCTCTCCGAGAGTCTCTCCCCCCAGCATTGACCAAGGACCGCAGGGACCTGCCTCCACCTGTGCCTTGATCAGCTCGGAGTCTGGCTGTTCATTCCGCGCATTGTTCCTGAGTGTCAATTGATCCCAGATCTTTTTGCCAGACGAGTCACATTGAGAGACAGCTCTGATGAGATGCTCAAATTGATCTATGTCTATGATGTTCCTCATATCATCAAAACTTCTTGTGGAGTTTAACTGCCTGTACCAAGGGCCCAGTGGTACCAGTGGGGTTGTATAAAAGTGCCTCTCAGAAGTGGATGGCCATCCCCTGGAAAACCCACTTCGACGAAGTGTCCTGTCACCGTGGCACATAGTGTACCGTCACATGCACAACACATACAAAACTATACAGTTCTTGAGAAAATGCCCATTGTTCCTTCCATATGTACACGAACTGTTCGCTGAAAAACCGCTTCGCCAGGTTCCCCTTCGCTTGAGGACCCCGACCATCGGCTAAAGGATGAGACGGCTTTGCTCATCGAGGCCATCCTGGTCGAACAGGACATCGAACACGACTCCGAACCGACGTCTGATGCCCTTTTCTCCCTGCATCCATGTTTCATGTCGTATTCGCGACCATTCTGAACGGCATATCTCTAAAAGTATGCATTTCCCCTTCAAAGCTTCGTTCAGTCATGACCAGCGCCCTTCGAATCGCTCCGAACTCACCTGAAGGCCCCCATGACATTGCCGACACTGGCTCCAGTTCCCATGTTCGCAAGGCCCGTGGGCGAATTCGCGCGCTTCTTCTGTCAGTTTATGGTTCAATAAGCCCTGGACATTGCCATTCACAAGCACGATGCGTTGGTGGCTTGGGAGTGACACAGAACAGTTGCTTGGGAGTGACACGCAAGCTGTTGGCTACATCCGATTCTCCCTTGTGAAACGTGCATCTTGCATGTATGATCTTGATTTCGGACAGCGGCGAGAGGAGACGGTCACACTTATGTTGCACCAGCAAAGTAGATCCATTCTCTTCTGTGTCAAACCATGTTTATACGTCTGAAGAGTTGTCCTGCTCACACACATGATACGTTGGTGTAGGAAGACTTGACAAACGAACTGTAATAATTCCAGCATGGCCTGCATGTTCGCTCATGAGAGTATCACAACTTCAATCTTTTCTCCTCCCTGACGTGATGGATGATTTCTGCTGGCACAGACCCAACCATCTGAGCCCTGGGGCTCCCACTTTACACGGTGCAAGGACATTGAGGGAAAAACCCATGAGCATTTCACACGTATAAGGATGAATTGGCTGGCATGCCGCCGTATCAGCAAGCAGCAAAAGCAGCAAGCTAACCATGTTCGCGACTAATCCCCCATTTTCGTTGTTGCCGTGTGCTCGTGGGAGCTGCGCACCTATGCCACCAATCCAAAAGGTTGCCTCGGGTCTGAAAAATACCCTCCAACTGGCTTTAACAAAGGGTGATGAGCAAAAAGGTTTGGCGTTTCAGGCCCAGGATACAAATCGTAGCTCTTTCATCACAAGAGGCAGCGGCTGCCGCAGACAAACTCTTGCACTTCACCACCACCAAGCAGGGTGCACAGAGCGAGCCCCTGACAACCTCATCCAACAGTACCAGAATCCGGCAGACAGCCGTGGAGCTCCTTTCACCTCCAATATCTACAAAAATCTTGAAGTTCTCGCATCTGTCTTGTAACCTGCAGAGCAGGCTGGGAGCCTCCAACATACAAAAATGTACTGGTGGCTGGCAAGCCTTGAGGCTGCTCTTGGGTAGAGGATGGCTTCAAGCAAACCAATTGCAAGTAAACCAATGCATGAGAATGAGGGAGCAGAAGAGACAAATTTAAAAAACGTAAAGAAAGCCCTTTACTCCGACTAAAGGGCTGGCTGCACAACCGTTGCAGCTGCAACGGGTCTTGGAAGCAGTTCAATAGCTCAATTCTGCAGAACGGATATCTTCGGCGGCTCTCCTCTCAATAAACGCTGACTCTCCCAAAAGCAAGTGTGCAAACTCAATGTTATGGAAAAAATCAACAAGCGCTCCTCGACCAGTTCCTGACTGTTGTCAATTCCAATCACGGCTGCAGCATGTTTTGTCAAAATCTGGGTACATTCCTCAGATTGAAGTAAGGCTTTAAATAAGCACTTCAACCACCGCAACCGCAAGTCAGTTTTCTTGTGGCACCTTCTTGGAATCTTGATTTCAGCCTCAGAGAAAGATCCTCCCATTTGGCCTGATTCTACATCAATCCAGATCTGCAGATCCTCTTTCCAGGGTCTTTCATCGTGACGCCTGAGCTACAATGCACTGCAACTGCTCTTCCAAGCCACTCCAAAGGAAGAGCCGATCTCCAGAACTCCATCGACCTGACAAGTCTGAAGAGTTCTCCAATCTTGACAATGAATCCTGGTCAAAGAAAAAGAAGAAAGGGAGCATTTGTCAGTTCATCATACTTCAACTTCCACAAATTTTACATGCCTAAAGTATGTAAGTTGTTCTGGTGAACTCCTTTTGCTCTTTTCATCGAGATCCCTCACTTTGGGCCTTTCCAACTTGCGTTTTGGCCAGCCGACGATAACTCACCGTCTCGTTCACAATGAGCACACGTGCAGGTGAGCAGGGAAGGACACGGGTCAAGCGCGAGACAGAGATGTACCCACGGACTGCTTCAGAAAACTCAAGTAGGAGGCGCCCCGGGTCATCTCCCATCCATTCCCCTTCTCGCCTGGGAGGGATGGGACCGGACTGGGCCAATTGGTGAGATTATGAGAAAATCGTTTCAAAATGCGAAAGAAACTGGGTTTCCCTCCTGTTTATCGAACCTCTTCCTGAGGCTTTTGGTTTTTATGGTGTTCGCGAGGTCGTGTCAAAACACGCCCTCGGCAAGGGGACGATCCATCCGAAAGGTGTGAGTGAACGATCGCACATGGACTCACTCAAAAAATTAAGTTTTGTACATGCTTCAAATTTGCTGGAACATACACCACTGAGGACCTATATACCACTCTTCAAACAAGCGACCGTGGATGCTTGAAGGTTGAAAGAGCCTTGCATAACTCATCTTCTCCCAAGCCACAACAGAGCGAGATGTCTGTTACCACAGTTGCATGACAATGCTTGAGGTTGCTTCGCTTGTCCACAGCAACAATTGCACCTGCTCAAACGATGCACTGAAATTCTTTGCTATTGACACTGGGATTGTTTCAAACCATGAAAGACAACGTTCCCTGATTGAAAGAAATCAGCACAATGAACACCCAACTGCACGGACCCCTCATGTCAACAAGATCATCGATCATCTTCGACATGCACCTGGAATGAAGGCCTTCAGATTGTAAGCCCAATCAGGAAAGAATGTGCCAGGTTTTTCCTCAGGACTTTGAGCACATTGCCACAAGTACTGCGAAAACGGCGGACCGCTGATGGACATTCAGGTCTCGAGCCACTAGGGCCACTGAGGGCTGGGGTTCTGTGTCGGTGAGACCAAGCTTGACACATGAGCATTCAAGAAATATGCCTAACCTGGAAATGTTTGCCACGATTTTGAAAGCCCGATGCACTGGAGGACAATCTCTTTGGACACACGACGTGGAACGATTTTGCCATCAAATACAAATCATAAATCGGTCAGAAATGTTCCCACCCCGCATCAGCAAAAGTCATTTGTCCTGTCTTTCAGCTTGCAATAATGTGTGCTTGTTGCGCCCCCAGTGTGGTGGAATTTCATTGACGCTGCAACAAGCCGTCGCCGCGCGAGCCGAAACCAACGCAATCCACAAAATACTATGTATCCCGCCAAGAGACCCCAGCAAACATCAGGAACAAAAACGCAACTCACGCGTCAGAATAATTGACTCGAGACCCGAGACCTGAATGAGCACCTGACTTGGTGCTCTTGGAGGTCTGGCAGATCCTCAAGGTTGAGGCCCCCATATACAAGCCTTCATGAATCTCCCTGAGTCACATATGGGTCTGGCGACTTTGCCAAACTCGCACCGCACATTTTTCATCTCCACCAGCAAGTCCGGTGGTCATTGCACAATTGCCATTATGCCAACAACAACAACAACAACAACAACGAGCTCGCTTTGCGAAGTGGCTGTCACAATTGCAATTGGCAAACACAACAGTCACTGAGTCAGCGCGTGCAAGTGCAACGGCGCATTGCTTGGCAGAGCCCGGAAGTGACCTTGCGTCGCAACATACGCAAGAGCCCGGCGCTATGTCGTGAAGAAATCCGCAAGTCAAGCTTTGGTGGCCTAAGTCGACTTTTCATGACTGTGAAAACACACGGACAGCGCAGCAGTCCTTTTCTCAGTCCCGCTCGTGAGCCAAAAGCCCAGCATTGAGGCTTTCAGCAAAATGTTCACGTGGCCAAAACAAGTCACAAGTCTTTGACTCGTGAGCTACACAGTCCAAAGACTAAGAAAATTGTGTAAGTACAAAAAACAGCTGAGAAGTCACCAAAACCACTCTGGTTGAGACTCTCCCACAACCAAACAACAAGAAGGAACCCAAAACACAAAGAGGCACCACTCCTATGGCAAAATCAAATTTAAAATCACTATACATAGCTACATGTAGGGAGCCATACTGCTCACACCCCTTCTTGGGTCACTACATGCTTGCAGCTATTCCTCTGTCTATACATTCCATTCTTCTGTCTTCTTTCTCTTCTCATTCGTTTGGAAAACCAAGCTTCCAATCAACCATGCGCGCAACAACTCAAGTCAACATGCACGCCAAAACCAAAGCTAACAAGGAACGAAGCAAGGATCCCTCAGACATGTACTGACAGAGATTGACTTCTTTCAAGTCCATTCCTGACGCTGATTCGACGTGAGTTCTCGATTTA